TGGCTGGGTCACTACGGCAGCCACCTTTGTAAATTGGTGAAATGATACCGTTTTTCCACAACTGAGGAAGCACGGTATCTTCAAACAGTTTTTGGAATAGCCCACTTAGAGGATCGGCTATGTGACTTGCCAGAGTGATAAGGGCTTGTGAATGGATGTTATCTAAACCCGGTGATGAGTTCTTCTTTAAAGCCATGAGCTTAGCCTTTACCTTTTCGGGGGAAAAGATAATGTCTGTTAGTAATGGGTGAGGAATATGTTCCAGCAAACGGGGAAGTACGAACCCAGTGTTACTGGGCGCATTGACCACTTGAGAGCCCAGTCCTGTAGCAACATTTTGCACTTTGAAGGTGCAAAACGCATGCCGAGCATGGCTACACTAGCACAGAAACTATTCGGAAAAGCTTGAAACTTACCCGGATCTATACTTAACAGTGGAATATCGTCTACATACTCCAAATTAGACGGTTTATCGCCTAGGATTAAATCGATGCCACTATCCTCGCATGAGGAAAGAGGCTATGTAGTGGTTGAAGTAGGCACAGGTCACAAATTACGAATCACGAATTAAGAGTCGCGGACGCAACGAAAACACTTGCACGCTGGTATCCTGCGTAATCGAGACGCAAGGATAAGGCCACAGAAGTAGCAGCTCTTTTATTGGAAGAAGTAAAGGGGATTAAATAACAAGCACAATGGAAAATTATTGGTTTTACTGGGATCCACCATTCGCGTGCTCTTATTCCTGACGTCATACAGCGTTTGTCTGGACCGACTAAACTAATTCCTCTGTGGTTTTCACAAGAGGATCTGTCGCCTTTCTTGTAAATTGTTGACATTACCGACTCACATCAATCGTTTGGAACCTGTCCCCTTTCCTGTATTGAGCCTGGAATCCGTCAACTCCATTACCGAAGCTGACCCTTCGTCCTTAAAAGCCGATGGGGACAGCCCATTAGGAGCCGGAGGAGTTATCCCTTCTCATGTGACTGATTTCCCGCGTAACTTCCATTTCAAATGGGAGTGATATCAGCTGAGAATTGAAGTGGGGATTAGATGGTCTACTGTCGACTGGATCCAGTTGAACTGTTCAGTTCAGTTTAGTTTTTACAACCATTAACCATGCACTTTCGTGCACCGGTTTTGGTTGCTGTCTTTTAGTCTCCCTTTGGATAAAAGAGCAGAATGAAGATCGGAATGTCGAAAGTAAATTCAAGCTGCAGATGGAGAATTCATATACAGTGGTGTTTGGAGAACTGTGCCTTGAAATGTTCTGACCGTCGCTCAAATAATTGTTGCTGATGGTGAATCGGTGTGCCATCAGACTCATTAATTAACTCAATTGCTACTTATGATGTTGAATCTCTTGTTGGTATCAATTGTCCCCGATCCCTCTTATTAACATAATCAACTCGTTGTTGTGCCAACTGACCATTCTTTTAATTCTGATTCATTTGTCAAATCGAGCATCTGTAATTGTCACTTACTCTGGTCTGAGCATATTCTGTTTTGTATTCATACAATAACTATCAACAACTGCCTTTCGGATTGCCTTTATATCAGGTCGCGAGATCCTTCCGGATGCCCAATTCCTCCCGGTGACCGACAGTAATGAAGGAATAGAACCAGGTTACCGTACAGGAAATGTTTACCCTTCAGATCCACTGGGAGTGGGTAAAAATACCCAGCTAGACGACGAGGATATTCAAGACGAGGACGATGATGAAATCGATAGAGATGACGAAGAGGTAGAAGAGGAAGATGATGAGGGTGAAGAATGGCTCCCAGGTCCGAGTCCAGATTCACCTGGATCAGTAGCTGCACTTGGATCCACAAGACCTGGTGGTCTTCCCAGTCATATGTCCTATCCGATGAGAATCACACCCACTGGTCCTGGTAATATCGCGACCGGTGGTTCCGCAATTTCAAAGCAGGAATCTCAGCAACCGGATGCTAAACTCACCCCTCGCGGCGGTAATGACTTGCTTTTAAAAAAGGTGTCCTGCTAAGCCATTGAAATGCGTGCCGTGAATATAATCTCCGTATCCACCGCTAAATACGGTATTGTTTAGTCTGCGTTTGATTTTCTTTCTTCTAAACGAATGTGTACATTTGTATCGATAGTATTCTGTATCTGAGTGAGTGTTTCCTGAAGCGTCTCGGTCAGTTCACGTTCAGTCCTGTCTGCATACGTTCCTTCGAAAATCGCTTTCAAATCTGATACTACGTGAGTCAGCTGGGCATCAACCCCAGCTGCAATGAACTTTAAGTTATCCCCTACCCGTTAGTCAGTTTTTGTTTGTCCGAAAAGGTCACCACGACAAATCACGTGACTTAATTTTGTGTGCTTGATCCAGGAATGGTTTTTCAAACCAAAATAAGCGCGAGAACCAGCTTACTCGAATTTTTTTACACGCATTCACTCAATCATTCTTATCATCTGTATTATGTTCCACAGTTCCTACGTTTGGGGATAAAAAATGTGACGACACTTGTGTTGAGTTTATTGGTTTTTGACGGTACTGGAGTTTGTATTTCAAATGTGGTAATCGAATTATTATGCAACCCGTTGAACCTTCTCAGTGCGTAATAAATGCAACTGTTAGATATGAAATGTCTCCCCCCCCTCGTTGCCTTGAGTCTCCTTTTCGCTTCTGCACTCTGAACTCTGAGCAGGTAACCTCTACCTGTAACTATCTGTAACTCGTGTATCATTGTTTGTGTTTAACCTCGAATCTTACTCCAAATGAAGAGTTCCTAACACCATCGCCACAACCGTTATCAATGTACTTTCAAATCCCATCCCAATCCAGAATAGTTCATTTTTCCCATTCCCAAAGAAACGTGAATGAATTTGTTGTCTGGGAAATCCTTCGTAACATTGGCTTATAATTTCAGCCAATCCTCACGTGCGATTTTTTTTCTTCAAAGGGTTCACGTACACA